GCGGACACCCGCGGGGCAGCTGCCCTGCACACCCCTCTGGCTTCTGGTCCTTCCTGCTGCCTACCCCGCTGGCCTGCTTCCCACCAGCGGCCTCCACAGCCACTGGCTCCAAGTGGACCGGACGGAGCCGCTGGCCGGCCCGGCCGGCCGTGCTGACGCGGGAGGGGAGCCGACCCCGGAGTGGCTGAGCCGCTGCGCCTGGCTGCGCTCCTCTGGCGCCCCCTTCACAATAAAGCCCTCGTCTGGCTTCGGGGCTCCGCCAGCTGTGCCTTTGCACCCCACCCCCAGGCGCAGAGCCGTGGCTGCGTCCGGTGTCTGCGCTGGCACCCGGGCCGTGGCCGCTGCTGTGGGCGGGGCGGCCTGGGTCGGGGCCCCCGCCTGGGCACGAGGCACGGGGCTGTGGCACCACCCTTGCGTGACGGGGCGGGTGAGCCCCCAGCGGGATGGCCGGGCGCCCTGGGGAGTGGGCACTGGGAGGGGCTTCTGGGAGGCCACAGCCTCTGACTCAGTGGGCCCAGTGGGCGGCAAAGTGCAACTGCCCCAGGGGGCAGCTTCCGGGAGGCGCAGCCCCCCCACGCCGGCTCCCACCAGCACCCCTTTGCCCCAGATCAGCTCTCTGGGCACGGGGAAGCCAGACTCGAGTGGGCAGCCACTCCCAGCCGGGTGCGCTGGGCACCACACTTGGCCAGGCTGGCTGGGGGCAGTGCTGACCAGGGGCCTGTCCGGGCGCGCCCCTGCCCGTGGCTGGCCACGACCCGGCGGGTGGCAGCTCGCAGGCTCCCGCCCCTTCGCGCTCGGCGGCAAAGTGCAACTGCCCCAGGGGGCAGCTTCCGGGAGGCGCAGCCCCCCCACGCCGGCTCCCCAGATCAGCTCTCTGGGCACGGGGAAGCCAGACTCGAGTGGGCAGCCACTCCCAGCCGGGTGCACTGGGCACCACACTTGGCCAGGCTGGCTGGGGGCAGTGCTGACCAGGGGCCTGTCCGGGCGCGCCCCTGCCGGTGGCTGGCCACGACCCGGCGGGTGGCAGCTCGCAGGCTCCCGCCCCTTCGCGCTCGG